TATACTATCTCATCTCAGAAATAGAACAGAAGACTCAAGAATCCCAGAAAGGCAGAACCCTTTGACTCCCAACAATGATTTCAACCTCGATGTTATTACCTTCGGCGAAGTCGGGAAATCACGTTTGACACCACCATAAATCCTACAACAACATTCGCGCGAGATATGGCTCACCCAGGACTGCCAAACAATCCTTCCTATTTCAACAACCTCAATAGCAACATATAATTTGTTTATCCAAATTGACATTTCACCTCCCCAGTCAGGTCTCAATTGATGCTGCAAAAACCTACTGAGCAGTGCATCAAACAAAATTTTTGAAAGGGACATTCAATGAATAAATGCTCCCTATCCTCAATTCTTGAATCACAAAGACAATATCTAGTAGACCCCGAATAGCCCCACTTCAATATCTTTTTCCTCGTGTTTATGCACCCTTTAACTACCATCCAAGTGACAACTCTATTCCTTGGGATTGCCTTGCCTTTCCGTATAAGTTTCCACCAGGGGACTCTCTGCTGAGTAGGCCGAATGAAGACCCAAACCTTCTTGATCGAGAAAGAAGCCATAGGTAAACCATTAAGTAGAACAACACCATTATTCAGAGATAATAAGTGACTGACTCTACTCCTAATTTTATCTATCTTCTTCCAGTTCCAAGAGCCAGTTCTGTAATTGCAAGTCCATAAATTTTTTCCTTTACTCTTATATGCATGGACCCAAGCCACCCAAAGGGACCCTTCCTGCAGAAAAATAAGCCAAATATGCCTCACCATACTTGCTACATTCCAACTACACATATCTGTAAGCCCCATGCCACACTCTTTCTTTGGAAAAGTAATCTTCTGCCATACCAGATTTGCCTTCAATTTAGCTATAGTCCCAACTCCCCAAATGAATTGACTACAGATTTGCTACACCTCTTTGATGACTGATTTTGGAAGCAAGAATACTGACATCCAGAATTGAGTTAAGCTGTATAGAATTGTTCCCACAAGCTCAACCCTCTCTGCATACGAAAGAGATTTGGCCTTCTAGCTTCGTACTCTGGCCACTAATTTGTCAATGAGGGGCTTGCAGGCTGCTAAACTAAGTTTACCAGAGATGACATGAAATCCCAAGTATCTTACAAGGAAACTCCCAAGTTGATAACCATACCTAGCAGCCCTCCTAACTCTCTTTTTGATCCAACCCACCAAAGAAGATTTCACATTTATTGGGATTTGACTTAAGTTCTGAAACTTTCCTAAATTGCTCAAGGACTCTTTGTAACTCTTGAATCCCAAAGTTTGAAGCATCAGAAAAGACCAGAAGGTCATCCGCAAAGCATAAATGAGTTAATTGAACCTTCTTGCACTGTGGATGATATGAAAGAGCCCAGCAGTAGCAGACTTATCCAAAACACAAGTGAAAATTTCTATATCTATAGAAAACAGGTAGGCGGAAAGAGGATCCCCTTGCCTGAATCCCTTACTAGCTTGAAAGTAACCTACAAGCCCTCCATTAAAGCAAACACTAAGCATAGGAGTACCAACACACATCTAATCCATGTCACAAATCTGTGAGGAAAACCCATACTTTTGAGAACCTGGAAAATAAATCTCTAATCTACTAAATCAAAGGCTTTCATAATATCTATCTTAATAGCAAATCTAAAGGAAACATTCTGCTGAGAGTACTTGCTAACAAGTTCATGAGCTAAAAGTATGTTCTCTCCAATAAGCCTGCCTTTCACAAACGTTGTTTGGTTCTTACTTATCAGAGAAGGGAGCAGAGAGTTGAACAGCCTATTTGCAATTAATTTGGAAATGAATTTATATAGTATGTTACAGCAAGAAATATGGCGAATTTTTTTTTTATTTCATATGGATTGGGACTTTAGGGATTAAAGTAAGAATGGTAGCATTAACATCTCCAAGGACACTATCCTGCTCAAAGTAGTATTGAATGGCAAGGGTTACCTCGTGGCCAATAATTGTCCAATCATACTGGTAAAAAGCAGTTGTGAATCCATCTGAACCCGGGCTCTTATCACCATCCATTGCAAACAAGACTTTTTTTATCTGCATTTCTGTAAAAGGAGCACAGATCCCCTCAATTTGTTCCTGACTCGCTACGACACGGCACCAAACTGCGACCAAGTGTAATCGTAGAGAGGAAATGCAGTATAGTGGTTCAAGTAATAATTGTCAAACCTGGGTCCTAGATGTGATGAATACTCCGTGAATTTCTTATTATCTAGCTAGGAAACTTTAGTGAAGTAATTGAAACTACGAAAACAAAGACGAGTAATGTTCTGGTTTTTCTCAAGTACTAAAGGTCATCTAGGTATGTTTCCTCCGAGTATGCAGCTAGTTCAGATTATATATTCCCAATTCACTCAGATTGACAGATATACTGGGGAAAGTTCTTAAGTGGTATGGACTCTCGACTAAAGTTATCCAGACCCTCTTGGTTCAAATACCCAGTGGGCGACTAACCTCCACCGGCATAAAATAACCGAGGTAAAACACAAAAAACTTCCTCTACTGGATTTGATTCCAGTGCAAAGCAGTGAATCGACTTCTCGACTGAAGCACTCGATTCACCACTTTCAATTTAAGGTTTCTCTTTTAACCTATGCAGAGACTTTCGTTCTAGGTTAAAGAAGGAATCACAAATGTTTGATAAGGTGACAGTAATTCTGCTGATTTCCTCCCTTCGGTTAGATCGAAGAAGAAGAGAAGTACTATTAGAGTTCTCAAGGATGAAGCTGGGGTTAAAACTCCGGATGTTGATCAAATGGCTCAGATTGCTGTCAGGTTCTATGAAAACTTGTTGGGGAAACATAATTTTGAAGGTGAACCTCAAATTGTTGACTATTATGGGAGATTTTTGAAGAGGAAACTCACAGAGGAACTGATAACACTATAATTGGACATGTTTTTCCCGTCATTTCTTGACCGTTTGAGTTTGGTTTATCGCTCTCGTGGCCAATTTTATGCTAGGTTGTGTTAGTTTATGATGTTTCAGGTCCTAGTACGTGAATGGGTGCGAAGTAGCGAGTTTTGTGACGCTTTTGAGCGAATGGGCAGTGAGTAGGGGGAAGTTACGGCCAGACCTTGAAAGTAACCGTAACTTCCCCAAGGCGCCCGTAACTATGAAGGGGAGGCGATAAGGATCCAGAGGCTATCTGAAAGTTACGGCCAGACCCTTGAAGTTACGGTATGGGCTGTAACTTCCTCCCCAGGCCCGTAACTCTGAGGAAGCGGATGCCGGATGTTCAAGAAGCCATCTCAAAGTTACGTCCACCTCCTCAAAGTTACGGTCGCAATTGTAACTTCCTCCTTGAAGCCGTAACTCTTGGTTTACAGAAAGCTTTGAAGTGACACCATTTTGAGAAAGTTACAGACTGGCAAGCAGAGTTACGGCCGTAACTTTGGCCGTAAGCATATAAAAGGGGAGCTCGGGCAGATTGCACACAATCCGTATTTTTGAGTTCTAAAGAGCGAAAAGAGATTCCTAGAGGGAGAAAGTGACGAAGGACAGCCCTTGGGCCAGGATTGGAGCGATCTGAAGAACTCGGATCTTGATTCCTCACTCTCGGAGTACAGATTAGCCGTCAGGAGCATATTTTCATTGTGGGCATAATGATTTCTTCTCTTAGCAGCTGCCGGAGTGGCGAGGTCGTTGGGAGAGGACGAAGAGTTATGGGGGGATGACGAAATTCAGCACCAGAACTGGTTTCGACGGACGGAGATCGAAGAGTGCAGGCGGAGATCGGATCTTGTTCTCTGCTCTCTCCATGGGGAAGGGGAAAGGAGAATTGAAAAATAAAAATTAATTGATTTTTCCTTCTTATTAGAATTATGGTGAAAAATTATTAAGGAAATTATTTAAAATAATAATTTAAACAGACATATGGCTCACATTTGATGATGCGTACATCCACATCATGTAAGAGTTAACGATGTTAAAGTTTAAAACGAAAACGACTAAAGTTGTCAAGCAAGTTTTCAAAAGTGGCTATATGAGCGTATTTTTCAAAATTTGGGAATATTTTTCATAACGCAAATAATTATGGCTATAAAAGTTATTTGTCTTCTTTTAACCCAGCCTTCTTTGGCTCTTCCAATAAAGGATAGGGACATCAAGATATTTGACATGTTTATCTATTTTTTTTATTTCCAGCTCTGCGTGAATATCCTCTCTTTAATGATGTAACACATTCACAATTCTTACTTCAACTAATTTCATATTTTAGCAAATTTACTTTTTGCTCCCAATTTTCAGCTAGTATATGCGTAAAATCGGTTTATACTGTTGCGTTGGTTTATCCAGTAGTATGATTTGATCAGTCTTACAATCAGTCTGTGTCGGTTCATATCGCTTTAATAAAATATGTAAAAATATAAAAAATAACCAATAACATCAATTGAATTTAAACATATAAAACATATTTGAAAATAATTTACTTACAATCTATATACATATTTAAATAAAATATAACATTCCAAATAAAATAACAAATAAAGGTATTTAAATACAACATTTAATCCAAACTTTTTTTTACATAAATCCAACAAATAACAGAAAATTTAAATTTTAAAATCATAAAATAATCACAAAACAAGATTATTTTTATAAGTAAAAAAATCGACCAAATCAGACATAACAATCGTATTTACACCAATTTTATAACCAACATTGAGAACCAAGTTCAATAAGTCGATATTCCAATCCAGCGACGTAACAACCATACAAAACAGAAACAAAAACACAAATTAAATTAGGCAGGACCCCTTCCCGCTGCAACTATTCTAAATAAAAATCTATTGGAATTTCTAGGTTTCTTAAAACATAAATTTGTTTGGAATTATGCTCATTTGCGTAATCCTTTGCCATGTAATTTATGAAAACCATTTTCTTCAGTGCATAATAGATTGAGTAAAGTAATTAAAAAGCAAGCAAAATTCGAGGAAACGATTCATTATACACAAAATTTCAACTAATGAACTAAACCCAGGAATGGAACTGCAAATCAATAATAAAAAAGCAGAAATTCAAGAGCAAATTAAGCTTTGAGCAACTATATTGTTTTTGCAGCATCTAACTTACCTACTATGTACTACTCTTACATCTTAACTATGCAATTAAACACAGAGAAACAGAACCCTTTTTTTGATTCTATTCCCTTCCTCCGACCGCCGGAGGCTATCAAAAAAGACATATAATCAAACCTAAACAAAAAGAAAATAAAAACTACTGTAGACGGAATTAATGAAAAAAGAAATAACAAACCCATATAGAGGGGGGAAGAAAGAGGGGAGGGGGCAAAGTGGGAAATGAAGGACATTTAAAAAAAAACTAATCTTCCGCTATCGAAATTAACATCAAGTTCGCCGCCTTAGCCCTCGTCGTGATAAGAATTTTCCGGGTTCAGGTACTCGTTCAAATCCGGTTTCTGCGAAAGCGACGGCTTTGCATCGGTGGTTGTGGAGTAAGAGTGGTTGTCCTCGGCTTCGGAAGATGAGGTGGGGTGTGGTAAAGGGCGGAGGAGGAGGTTTGGAGGGCGTCAACTTTGGCGCCAACCTTGGTGGCTTTCCTGTGGATGTTGGCGGTGAATACGTCGCCACCACGGACCTGGACCTCCTGGAAAATCAAGTCGGGGAAGTTAAAGCGGGCCGAGGGCCCACAGAGGTAGTAGACGACGGTGTCGTAGGCACGCGCGGCGGCGACGGGCGTGGAGTGTCAAGCTCCATGAGGAGAGATGCAGAGAAGGAAGAAGAAGATGAAAGGAAATCCCCTGCTCTGCAACAGTCGACTGAAGAAAGAGGGAGAATCCAACGCAACGTTTCACATAAAGAAGAAAAAACAGAAACAAATAGTAACATATTCTGTATATGATTATTTGTCTCTTTGTTATTAGCTGTAGCTAGCAGTAGAATGTCACTTGTCCCATGTTAGATGGATGAGGCGGTTATAGGTAGTTTGTCCTGTAGCTCTGTTTATTTTATATATATCTCTGGAGCCTTATTACAATGGAAATCAGAAAATCATTCCACAAAATCTCACTACTCACAATTATTCTCATGGTATCAGAGCCTTTGGCTTACTTCACCTAGGGTTTTGTGACCTCCTAAAAAGTAGCAATGGCGACCAATCAAGATGATGCTTCTTCTACAACAACACGAGCTACCACTGGAGCCACAGAAGCGACGAATGCAGCCCTTCACCAACAACGACAAGAATTTGATCCTTACTACGTAAACCCGAATGAAAACCTGTCTCAAGGTATCATTTATGTTAAACTTGATGGAACCAATTACCATGTATGGAGTAGATCAATGCGCATAGAGCTTAACACCAAGAAGAAACTTGGGTTTGTCAATGGAACCTTACATATGCCTCAACTGATAGATCCAGATTATGAAATCTGGGATCAGAGTAACACCAATGTGATGGGTTGGATTTTGAACTCATTGATTGATCCTATAGCTGAGGCTGTGATTGATAATGAAACAACTCAGGATCTATGAAAAGACATGCAAGAAAGATATGGAGAAGTAGATTCGATTAGACTAGCTCATGTTAATGGGCTGATTTCATCGTGCAAACAAGATAAGAGTATTATTACTGAGTACTACAACAAATTGGGTGTGTTGTGGACAGAATATATGTCATTCAAATCGATACCACCATGTAAATGTGGTAATGCACCTCATACCATGTCTTGTGTTACATATGATGCTGTTAAGGAATAACAGGAGCTGGATCACACCATTGATTTCATCATTGGTCTGAGTGATGTTTTGAAATGACCTAGAACCAACTTCTGATGATGGATCCAAGTCCGAATCTCAAAGTAGCATACAAGTATGCACTCAAAATGGAAAGACAGATGGAAAAACAACCAACCAAAGAGACTATAGGAGTTGACTTAGTGGCATTGGCAGCAATGAACCAAGGAAGAAATAGAGATCAGAGAACTGAGTATCCAAGAGGTGGAAGGCTAAACAACTATCAAGGAAACTATCCTAACAATCAACAAAGAGGAACCATTGAAGCAAGTGGAGGTAGCCAACAAAATCTGTTTTGCAACTACTGCAAAAAGACCAATTATGTCATAGCTGATTGCTGGAGACTCAAGAGGAAAAAAGGAGAGTTAGCATGAGCAAACTTTGCTGCAGCAACCACATCACGTGGTAACCATGATCAAGGAATCACCAACTTCTTAGGTGGAACTAAACAGGAGAACAAAAACCAGAATACTACTACACTGCAACTGACACTTGAAGATTGCAGCAGACTGATGATGTTACTACGACAAAACACTGAAGCTCAAACAACAAATCAACCCAACATACAATTGGCACGCTAAAACACAACACCAAACTGCGACCAAGTGTAATCGCAGTCCGGAAATGCAGTAAAGTGACAAGCTCTATTTGTCAACCTGGGGTCTAGATCTACTGCCTACTCCGTGATTATCTATTATCTAACAAACTAAGTCGAGTGATTGTGATTTTTAACTAAAAACAGTAACAAAGCAGGAAATGGTTCAAAGTTCTTTAACAAGGGAAGAGTCACTTGAGAATGAGTCCCCCTAGCTCCTTAGTTAGGTCAAGGTTGTAATTACCCTGGGTTGATTAACTGTTGATTAAACTGCAGAAGATCCGACAATAGCTTGGAATCTCTTAAGCTGACCGAGCCCTCTCAGGCAGACTAATCGACAGGCGACTAACCTTCATCGGGATAGACTACTGAGGCAATAAGCACAGAACTCCACTACTAGAATTGGTTTCCAGTACAAAGCAGTAAACTGATTAACTCTCGTATAACCAATCTACCACTACTGATTGATGAAGCTCTAACAACCTAATCAGATTCTGTCTATCTCAGGTTGCAGCAGAAATCAAGAAAAGACGATCAGACTTCAATTGACTCAATGAATCATGCATCATTCGATTATAACCAGTCAATATATCAATCCCAAGTCATTACAATCAATATTCCTAACACATGGAACTAGGGTTTTCATACCCAAGTGAGAGAAGGTTCTACTCCATAGAGAGAGAGAGAGAGAGAGAGAGAGAGAGAGAGAGAGGAAAACAGAAATCAGAGTAGTCATACTCATAAAGATGAGGATAATCTGCTCTGAGATGCCGATCTTCACTCCTGGGGATGCAATCCGGGCTTCAATGGTGAGAAATCCACTCCAAATAGCTCCTAGGGTTTGTTCTTCGCACTGTCTCTCTAATGTTCTTTTTTTTTTTTTTGCTCCAAAACTCAATTCCCTCTCCTAAGGCTCAAAATTGGGTTAAAACCCAGAATTTCCCGACCACACGACCGTGTGGAATCCCAGTCTGCCCGTGTGAGCTCCAAAACGCGACGTTTCAATTAAGTGGTCTCATGCACGTCACACGGACAGAACTGCACGACCGTGTAGAAAACTGCCTTGCCCGTGTAACCTCCCTGTGATTTCCACACGGCCTCAAGGGACCCGGTACACGGCCAGTGTGGTCTTGCCCGCGTAATGGAATTCCACACGGCCACGCCACACGGCCGTGTGGATACTAGGTCTGGCCATGTGATTTCCTCAGCTTCTCGCCAAACGTCCAACCTTCGTCCTATCGACCCCGAATTCGTTCCCAAACCTCAATTCACGTACTAGGACCAAAAATATCACAAACAAGAACAACCTAGCGTGAAATCGGCCTAAGATACAAGAAATGAGGCTCAAACGGTATAAGAATGGTGGACAAAATATGTGTATATATCAAGTCATCAACAACCTCAAGCTCAATCAGTGTCAAGGCACATCAATCAGATGCCTGAGAATGCAGGTAAATTCATCTTGTTCACATTTACTGCTTGTCAACATAAGGAATTGCTGAATAATTGGATTATTGACACTGGTGCATCTGATCACATGTGTTGTAGACTTTCCTCTTTCACATCACACCATCCAGTCGAAAATCTTTTTGTCACCTTACCAACCAGTGGTAGAGTTAAAGTAGTACACATTGGAACACTCAGAATCAACCATAACCTTACCTTGAACAATGTTCTCCATGTTCCTAGTTTCACTTTGTCTCATTTATGCCAGTTCCTTAACCAAAACTTTACCTATCACCCTAAGCTTTCAATCTGACTTCTGTGTTGTCGAGGACCTTCATACACAGAAGAAGATTGGTTTTGCAAGAGAGCTTAGAGGACTATACCAGCTACAAACATCCATTCCCATTCCTGAACCAGTCATCAACCTAGTAGCAGCAGTGAGCAGCCCTGAGAGTCAAGACATGCATTTATGGCATTTGTCTAATTCTAGAACCAAACTATTTCATAAGTGTAATCCTGAGTTACCAGTGAATATTGTTGATCACTGTGAGGCTTGTCATTTTGCTAGACAAAAGAAACTCCCCTTTCCTTCAAGTTCACATAGCAGCAAAGAAACTTTTGAGATTATACATTATGATCTCTGGGGTCCCTTAAGCACTACTTCCTATGATGGTTTTTCCTACTTCTTGACCATTGTAGATGATTTCTAGAGCATTCTGGACTTACTAATACGACCCTGGAGGGTTGTATGTGATCAAAGTCATGCAGCTAACGACTCAATCGAAGGATCGATTGAGCTCGAATCAAGAACGAAGCGTTCTTAATACGAACTTGGATAAAACGGAACCAAAAGGACGATTCCCCACCTGAGGAATGCTCGATTCGATTAAAAGGTAGATGCTCGACCACAATTGAAGTGACTATTCAATCGATACACAAGCTCAACAAGTTTGGAATCCACCAAACCCAAAGCAAGTCGCAACTTGCACAAACCAAACGGTTTCGATTTCTATTCAACCAGGCTCTGATACCACTTAATACGACCCTGGGGGGTTGTATGTGATCAAAGTCACACAGCTAATGACTCAATCAAAGGATCGATTGAGCTCGAATCAAGAACGAAGCGTTCTTAATACGAACTTGGATAAAACGGAACCAAAAGGGCGATTCCACACCTGGGGAACGCTCGATTGGATTAACAGGTAGATGTCCGACCATGATTGAAGAGGCTATTCAACTGATACAAGAGCTCACGAGCTTGGAATCCACCAAGACAATTGAGAGAACCATGCCTCCAAAGTATGTACCATGAACACGGATTTTGACTTAGGCAAATCTGCCCTTCTTCTTCCCAACTTCGTTAGCTTCTTTGTCAAGTAATTATGACGTGAATGGTTGGCAATTTGGGATCATATCAGGCCCTCCCTCTTGAAAAAGTGTTGCCCTCAACACTTTGGCCTTTCGTTGCTCAAACCGTTCACAGAATTGATCCCAAATTGGATCGAAAGAATGCTTCTCAACCACCTTTTTCGACGCAAAAATTTCAGTTTCATACTCACCATCAATCTATTTCTGAGTGATTGACGCTGGAAGTGTTGTTGGAAATGCTTCCTGGGTTTGAAATAAATATGAATTGACGACTAATTGCGCCGGAATGGGACTAGAACAATTGGCGCGCCGTTGTTCTTCATCTTTGCACAAGTACTTGCTCGAAACAATTGGGGGTTTATGTTTCGAAGATACCCAGTCCAATTCGACGATACCAAGCTCTTCAGAAGGCTTCCAATTGAAACTCTGAACCATTCTCCAGCCTCGAATCATCACCTTCGTCGTCGAATCACCGATTTCGTCTTTCCCGCCGTTAGTCACATTCAAAAATCCGAAAACCAGAAACTTCAATTGGAAATTGAGCATTTTCGATTCAGACTTCTTTGGGATATTTTGAATGTTTTGGCACGTTCCTTGTACCTCATGTGATGATTCCACATCGTTTGTTTGGCTCAATTTGAGCAGGACCGCTTTACCTAGAATATGGTTGTCATCGACCGTTTGCTTCACGAACAGAGGTGTTTTCGTATGATTTAATTCTCCAAATTCAGCTAAGGTCGTCTCCAATGAAGCATCTTTAAACGTTCCTGGGGTAGTGGGGGTTGCGTCGACACCGGCGGCAAAGTTCGAATCTTCGCAGGAGATTCCACCCAAATCATTCTCTCTCATGCTCTATTTCGACGGAGAATTGGGACGTTCTGCTGCTCGCGTCGCTGGGACGACGTTCTTGTCGTCAGGCTGCTCTAGCCCCTTTTCTCGATCTGTCGCTCTTCCTTTCACCTCCACGAATGCCTCGGATCCCTTTTTGCGCGCTTTATTCCCTTCTTCAACGCCGGACGAGCTACAGGGATTGGCACTATGTTTTGACAGGGCGAAATAGGGGTCGGGACTGGCTGTCTGTTTCGG